GTGAGGGGAGTGTTTTACTAGGGGGCGGGGCTGTGTGAGGGGAGTGTTTTACTAGGGGGGGGGGGGTGTACTACACAGGGACAGCTTATTGGGGGAGAGAGAAACTCTTCTCTCCAGCTCAGCGTGTCAGGAGCTGTCACACTGACAGAGGAGAGGAGAGCTGATAATTGTGCGGACATGTACACTAATTCATCAGGGCACTAATGATCAGTGTGCCCTGATGATCAGTGCCACCTGTCAGTGTCCATCAGTGCCTTGTGTCAGTGCTCATCAGTGCCACATATCAGTGCCTATCAGTGCACATTAATGCCACATATCAGTGCTCATCTGAGCTGCCTTTCAGTGTCACCCATCAGTGCCAGTCAGTGCCACCTATCAATGCCAATTAGTGCTGCCAATCAGTGCCGCCTATCAGTGCCATGTATCAGTGCTGCCTTTCCGTGCCCATCAGTGACGCCTGTCAATGCCCATCAGTGCCACCTACCAGTGCCTCCTCATCAGTGCCTATCAGTGCCATCTATCAGTGTCCATCACTGCAGCCTCATTAGCGCACATCAGCGAAGGAGAAAAATCACTTATTTACAAAATTTTATAACAAAAACTAAGAAAAAACTTTTATTTTTCAACATTTTCAGTGGTTTTTGGTTTAGGAAAAAATAAAAAACCCAGAGTTGATTAAATACCACCAAAATAAAGCTCTGTGTTACAAAAAAATGATACAAATTTCATATGGCTACAATGTTGCATGACCGCCGCGCAATTGTCAAATGAGTGCTGCCTTTCAGTGCCCATCAGTGATGCCTGTCAATGCCCATCAGTGCCACCTACCAGTGCCTCCTCATCAGTGCCACCTATTAGTGCCCATCAGTGCAGCCTATCAGTGCCCATCATTGCAGCCTCATTAGCGCACATCAGTAAAGGAAAAAAATCACTTATTTATAAAAATGTCATATGGGTACAGTGTTGCATGACCGCGCAATTGTCATTCAAAATGTGACAGCTCTGAAAGCTGGAAATTGGCCTGGGCAGGAAGGGGGTAGAAGTGCCCGGTAGGCAGGAAGGGGGTAGAAGTGCCCTGTAGGCAGGAAGGGTGTAGAAGTGCCCTGTAGGCAGGAAGGGGGTAGAAGTGCCCGGTAGGCAGGAAGGGGGTAGAAGTGCCCGGTAGGCAGGAAGGGGGTAGAAGTGTCCTGTAGGCAGGAAGGGGGTAGAAGTGCCCGGTAGGCAGGAAGGGGGTAGAAGTGTCCTGTAGGCAGGAAGGGGGTAGAAGTGCCCGGTAGGCAGGAGGGGGTAGAAGTGCCCGGTAGGCAGGAAGGGGGTAGAAGTGTCCTGTAGGCAGGAAGGGGGTAGAAGTGCCCTGTAGGCAGGAAGGGGGTAGAAGTGTCCTGTAGGCAGGAAGGGGGTAGAAGTGCCCTGTAGGCAGGAAGGGGGTAGAAGTGCCCGGTAGGCAGGAAGGGGGTAGAAGTGTCCTGTAGGCAGGAAGGGGGTAGAAGTGTCCTGTAGGCAGGAGGGGGTAGAAGTGTCCTGTAGGCAGGAAGGGGGTAGAAGTGCCCTGTAGGCAGGAAGGGGGTAGAAGTGCCCTGTAGGCAGGAAGGGGGTAGAAGTGCCCGGTAGGCAGGAAGGGGGTAGAAGTGTCCTGTAGGCAGGAAGGGGGTAGAAGTACCCGGTGGGCAGGAAGGGTGTAGAAGTGCCCTGTAGGCAGGAAGGGGGTAGAAGTGCCCTGTAGGCAGGAAGGGGGTAGAAGTGCCCTGTAGGCAGGAAGGGGGTAGAATTGTCCGGTGGGCAGGAAGGGGGTAGAAGTGCCTGGTAGGCAGGAAGGGGGTAGAAGTGTCCGGTGGGCAGGAAGGGGGTAGAAGTGCCTGGTATGCAGGAAGGGTCCCATTAAGTCCTCATCTCAGGGGTCCCTCTCTGTCCTCATGTCAGGGGTCCCTCTCTGTCCTCATCTCAGGAGTTCCTCTCTGTCCTAATCCCAGGAGTCCCTCTTTTTCCTCATCTCAGGGTCCCTCTCTGTTCTCATCCCAGGGGTCCCTCTCTGTCCCCATCTCAGGGGTCCCTCTCTGTCCTCATCCCAGGGGTCCCTCTCTGTCCTCATCCCGGGGGTCACTCTCTGTCCTTATCCCAGAGGCCCCTTTCTGTCTTCTTCTCAAGAGTTCCTCTCTGTCTTCATCTCAGGGGTTCCTCTCTGTCCTCATCCCAGGAGTCCCTCTCTGTCCTCATCTCAGGAGTCCCTCTTTTTCCTCATCTCAGGGGTCCCACTCTGTCCTCATCTCAGGGGTGCCAGTAAGTCCTCATCTCAGGGGTCCCTCTCTGTCCTCATCCCAGAGGTCCCTCTCTGTCTTCTTCTCAGGAGACCCTCTCTGTCCTCATCCCATGAGTCCCTTTCTGTCCTCATCTCAGGAGTCAATCTTTTTCCTCATCTCAGAGGTCCCACTCTGTCCTCATCTCAGGGGTGCCACTAAGTCCTCATCTCAGGGGTCCCTCTCTGTCCTCATCCCATAGGTACCTCTCTGTCTTCTTCTCAGGAGACCCTCTGTGTCCTCATCCCATGAGTCCCTCTCTTTCCTCATCTCAGGGATCCCACTCTGTCCTCATCTCAGAAGTCCCTCTCTGTCTTCATCTAAGGGGTCCCTCTCTGTCCTCATCTCAGGGGTCCCTCTCTGTCCTCATCTCAGAGGTCCCTCTCTGTCCTCATCTCAGGGGTCCCTCTCTGTCCTCATCTCAGGGGTCCCTCTCTGACTTCATCTCAGGGGTCCCTCTCTGTCCTCATCTCAGGAGTCCCTCTTTTTCCTCATGTCATGGGTCCCTCTCTGTCCTCATCTCAGGGGTCCCATTAAGTCCTCATCTCAGGGGTCCCACTCTGTCCTCATCTCAGGGGTCCCTTTCTGTCTTCATCTCAGGAGTCCCTCTCTGTTCTCATCTAATGAGTCCCTCTCTGTCCTCATCCCAGGAGTCTCTCTCTATCCTCATCTCAGGAGTTCCTCTCTGTCCTCATCCAAGGAGTCTCTCTTTTTCCTCTCTCGGGGGTCCCACTCCTGTCCGGTCCCACTCTGTCCTCATCTCAGGGTCCCTCTCTGTCCTCATCTCAGGGGTCCCTCTCTGTCCTCATCTCAGGATCCCTCTCTGTCCTCATCTCAGGGTTCCTCTCTGTCCTCATCTCAGGGTCCCTCTCTGTCCTCATCTCAGGATCCCTCTCTGTCCTCATCTCAGGGTTCCTCTCTGTCCTCATCTCAGGGTCCCTCTCTGTTCTCATCCCAGGGGTCCCTCTCTATCCCCATCTCAGGGGTCCCTCTCTGTCCTCATCCCAGGGAACCCTCTCTGTCCTCATCCCAGGGGTTCCTCTCTGTCCTGATCTCCGGGGTCCCTCTCTGTCCTGATCTCAGGAGTCCATCTCTGTCCCCTTCTAAGGAGTCCCTCTCTGTCTCATCTCAAGGGTCCCATTCTGTCCTCATGTCAGGGGTCCCTCTCTGTCCTCATCCCACTGGTCCCTCTCTGTCTTCTCTCAGGGGTCCCTCTCTGTCCTCATCCCAGGAGTCCCTCTTTTTCCTCATCTCGGGGGTCCCACTCTGTGCTCATCTCAGGAGTCCCTCTTTTTCCTCATCTCGGGGGGTCCCACTCTGTCCTCATCTCAGGGGTCCCACTCTGTCCTCATCTCAGGAGTCCCTCTTTTTCCTCATCTCGGGGGTCCCACTCTGTCCTCATCTCAGGGGTCCCACTCTGTCCTCATCTCAGGAGTCCCTCTTTTTCCTCATCTCAGGGGTCCCTCTCTGTCCTCCTCTCAGGGGTCCCTCTCTGTCCTCCTCTCAGGGGTCCCTCTCTGTTCTCTTCTCAGGGAGACAATATGTAGGTGGTCAGTCCCAGAGAGGCCAAGGCCTAAAGCTGTGTAAGGGAACCCAAAATGGCTGTCCTGCACAGGAGTCCATGTTGTCCTGCATAAGGTGGACTCAGATTGCCCCATGGGACTCTAAACTGCCTGCTGCCCGATCGCTTCCACAGCCCCCGGTACTAAAATGTTGCGTTTCCTGGACCCCTGCGGTAATATCATGCGACATGAAAAATTGGGACTACCGTCATTTTATTCTCTGGAGTCTCTGCTTTCAGAAAATATATCATGTTGGGGGTTTGTGTCATCGTCAGGCCTGAAAGGATTTTTTTTAAACATTTCTTGGGGGTTTTTTTTCTGCTGTTTAGTTTTTCTTTTTTCTTTTCTTTTTTTTTCCTTTGCTGTTTTATACTTTTCGGATAGGTGGACCAGCGCCATCTAGTGTCTTCCCTTCATACTGCAGTTGGGCTGTTTTATTGCTCCTCCATATGGGACAGATCCAGGAAGTGAGATTGAGCCAAATTGTTACTTCCTGTCTATCCAAACTTTTCCTCTTGTCGGCCATTTTTACAGCTCATTGTAACGGGACCAACAGATTCTCAGTCCCCGTCCTGAACACACGGCCATCATAGGGACAGCATGGCATTTATTCCAGGTCACACCACACAGGTGAGTCAGGATTATATCCTATTCATGGTACGGGGCTCCTCCACACTCCTCTCCTACATACTGCCCACCGTCATCTCCTCCACACTCCTCTCCTACATACTGCCCGCCGTCATCTCCCCCACACTCCTCTCCTACATACTGCCCGCCGTCATCCCCCCACACTCCTCTCCTACATACTGCCCGCCGTCATCCCCCCCACACTCCTCTCCTACATACTGCCCGCCGTCATCCCCCCCCACACTCCTCTCCTACATACTGCCCGCCGTCATCCCCCCCACACTCCTCTCCTACATACTGCCCCCACCGTCATCCCCCTCCACACTCCTCTCCTACATACTGCCCGCCGTCATCCCCCCCCACTCCTCCTACATACTGCCCGCCGTCATCCCCCCCACACTCCTCTCCTACATACTGCCCACCGTCATCCCCCCCACACTCCTCTCCTACATACTGCCCGCCGTCATCCCCCCCACACTCCTCTCCACATACTGCCCGCCGTCATCCCCTCCACACTCCTCTCCTACATACTGCCCACCGTCATCCCCTCCACACTCCTCTCCTACATACTGCCCGCCGTCATCCCCCCCCACACTCCTCTCCTACATACTGCCCGCCGTCATCCCCCCCACACTCCTCTCCTACATACTGCCCGCCGTCATCCCCCCCACACTCCTCTCCTACATACTGCCCCGCCGTCATCCCCCCCACACTCCTCTCCTACATACTGCCCACCGTCATCCCCTCCACACTCCTCTCCTACATACTGCCCACCGTCATACCCCCCCCACACTCCTCTCCTACATACTACCCGCCGTCATCCCCTCCACACTCCTCTCCTACATAGTACCTGCCGTCATCCCCTCCACACTCCTCTCCTGTACATACCGATCACTGTCATACCTCCACACTCCTCCCTGTACATACCCATCACTGTCATACCTCCGTACTCCTCTCCTGTACATTACCGATCACTGTCATACCTCCGTACTCCTCTCCTGTACATCCCATCACTGTCATACCTCCACACACCTCTCCTGTACATACCGATCACTGTCACCCCCCACACTCCTCTCCTACATAGTGCCCGCCGTCATCCCCTGTCCACACACCCTCTCCTGTACACACGATCACTGTCATACCTCCCCACACTCCTCTCCTGTACATACCCATCACTGTCATACCTCCACACTCCTCTCCTGTACATACCGATCACTGTCATACCCCCCCCACACTCCTCTCCTACATAGTACCCGCCGTCATCCCCCCACTCCTCTCCTGTACATACCGATCACTGTCATACCCTCCACACTCCTCTCCTGTACATACCGATCACTGTCATACCTCCACACTCCTCTCCTGTACATACCGATCACTGTCATACCTCCACACTCCTCTCCTGTACAACCGATCACTGTCATACCCTCCACACGCCTCTCCTGTACATACCGATCACTGTCATACCTCCACACTCCTCTCCTGTACGCACTACATGTAGTATAGAATCCAAAATATAAATATTTATATATATAATATCACTGCAATATTATATATGTGCGGGTCGGTTCGATGTGCGTAGTGCGGGTCGTGTTCGATGTGCGTAGTGCGGGTCGTTGTTCGACTGTGCCGTCTTGTATATGTAATTCAGTTCTCTATAGTCACTGCAATATTTTGGAGGCTTTTTGCTGTCAAATAAATACATATAAAATGTTGATACATTTGATTAAATATCCGGTAATTCACTGTTCTTTTTAGGAAAATGTGGCCCGAGTGCAATGTGTTTAGACCATTTCCAGTCCCGGACGCTTTCTCCCCCCCCTTCCATTCCGGACACTATCTGCCCCCTATGTCCAGTCCGGACACATTCCCCCCCCCCACCTTTCCAGTCCAGGCACTTTCATTCAACCCCCTTCCAGTCCGGAACACATTTTCCCCTTATTCCAGTCCGGACACTTTCCCCCTTTCCAGTCCGGACACTTTCACACCCCTTCCAGTCCGGACACTTTCCCCCCCCTTGCCAGTCCAGGTCACTTTCACCCCTTTCCAGTCCGACACTTTCCCCCCTTCCAACCGGACACTTTCCGAACCAACCACCTCATTCCCGGACAAACCTCACCCTTCCCCTCCGGGCACTTTCCCCCCCCCCCCTTCCAGTCCGGCACCCCTTCCCCCCTTCCCGTCCGGACCTTTCCCCCCCCCCTTCCCGTCCGGGCCTTCCCCCCCCCCCTTCCATCCGGGCACTTTCCCCCCCCCCCAGTCCGGACCTTTCCCCCCCCTTTCCCTCCGGACCTTCCCCCCCTTCCAGTCCGGAAACCTTCCCCCCCCTTCCATTTTCCGGACCCCCCCCTTTCACCCCCCCCCCCCGTCGGGAAATTTCCCCCCCCCCCCTTCCAGTCCGGAAACTTTCCCCCTCCGTCCCGGACGCTTTCCCCCCCCCCCCCCCTCCGGGAAAAGCTTTTCCCCCCCCTTTTCCTCCACCTTCCCCCCCTTCCATCCGGGCGCTTTTTCCCCCCCCCCCTTCCAGTCCGGACGCTTTTCCCCCCCCCCCTTTCCCGCCGGGCGCTTTCCCCCCCCCCCTGCCTTTCCCCCCCCCCCCCTTCCCCCCCAAAATCCGGACGCTTTTTTTCCCCCCCCTTCCAAACCAAGCCCCCTTTCCCCCCCCCCTTCCAGTCCCCGGACGCTTTCCCCCCCCCCCATCCGGGCGCTTCCCCCCTTTCCCCCCCCCCCCCCCCTTCCATCCGGCGCTTCCCCCCCCCTTCCATCCGGGCGCTTCCCCCCCCCCCCCCTCCCTCCCCCGCTTCCCCCCCCCGCACTTCCCCCCCCCCCCTTTCCCCCCCCCCTTTCCGTACCTTCCCCCCCCCCCCTTTCCCGTCCGGACGCTTCCCCCCCCCCTTCCAGTCCGGACGCTTCCCCCCCCCCCCCCCTTTCCCGTCCGACCTTTCCCCCCCCCCCCCCCCCCTTCCAGCCCCGGCCATTTTTCCAGCTTTCTGCTATCACACTTTGAAAACAATTGCGCGCTGCAACACTGTACCCAAATGAATTTTTTTTCTTTTTGTGAACGCTAAAACTTTTTTTTGGTGGGTTTTTTTCATATTTGGGGTTTTTTTTTTTTTGCTATTAAAAAAAAAGTCCAAAAATTTTAAAAAAAGTTTTTTTTTCCCATAAAATCTTCAGATAAATAGCATTTCATCATAAAAAGGGGCCCAAAAAGTATCCCTTGTCTTTTTTTTGTAGAAAAAAAAAAATAACCCAAATTGGTTTTTTTTAAATTTTTAAACAATTTTTTTGTACTTTTTTTATATATTTTTTTTT